GGGAGGGAAATTACTTTAATTACATGTCACTGGCTGTGAAAGGTTATGAGCCAAAGGTCAGCAAAAAGGGAATACCTTGTGCACCATTACACATGCATCGACATGACTTTTTTATTAATGAAGAAAAACCCAATAAAGGCCCAATACATTTCCTTTTTTGTTTCCCATAACAACAAACTCTGCCACAGGTTATGGGTGACTGACATTAGGCTTAATCCAATATACAGTGTTTGGGAGTCATTTAAGAATATTAACTACAACTTGCAGTAGCTTGCTGGTAGTTCAACAACATTAATATTTGCATAGGTATTCAAATCAAAAGTTAAATACCTTTTTTTTGTGCCATTTTTGTGAAGTTTACTACTGAATCTACAAACCGTAAAAGAAAGGTTATTTGGTTCTTTTATTTTACTCTTCCTTCTCTGCTGTAATTGAGCACATTTTTTACCAGGTGCATCCAAATATTCTTTAATAAAGGAATATGATTGTCAACAAGTTTTACACATTTTTACGGTTTAAAGTTTGTATTTCTACTTTGTAACCCTAGAGAAGCTCTGTAAATGTAGTTTATCATGGATTAGATCATTTTATGAAACTTGTTGAGTTACGTTTTTTGTATACAGACGATTATTTGTGTCTTTCTGAGGCAAAGGGATACTTACAAAATAATAATTACACATATTAATTCATTTCTTACGGAAGAGGATTAGGGCCACATGATTTTCTTTTTTGGGAGGATTTAAAAAAAAAAAATGTGTTCTGAGAAAAAAGTCAGAATTCTGACTTTAATCTCAGAATTCTGACTTTTTTCTCAGAACAAAAAAAAACATTTTATTTTCCAATCCTCCCAAACAAAAAATTAATGTGGCCCTAATCCTCTTCCGTAGATAAATCCTAGAGACACAGGTCTATACTTTTTTGATGCATTACAAATTATGCATTTATATTGAAATGTTAATGGTATTAGTACCTGTTTAATAATGAATATTCAGCTATTGTAAAAAAAAACTCAAATACTGTATGGCAGTTAGCAAATGAGAAATTAGGTTTTGATCACTTCCAAGAATCTCTTTCAGAAATCCAGACAAACTTTAAACATGTTGCTACGTCCTTGGAATCTAATCTAATCCCAATTCTGAAAGTGTAAGAGTTAATCTTTTTTTTTTTAGGATGACTTTCAACATCTGTCCAGGGACTGCAGATGAAAAATAGCCTGTTGGCTAACTCTGGCGCATTTACAGAAATGTCAATCAGTGTGCACTGTCCCTGTCAAATGAATAAAAAATTATAAAATCTGGACATGAAAAGAAAATCAAGATTGTTTTTCGATTGTTCTGTTTTGTGTGTTTACGCTCTGTGCAGTTAAAGGAAAACATGAAACATAAAAACAGAAGCTTGCTTTTGCTCTTGTTTCATGTGTTTAGGTTGAAACAAAGGGTGATATCATTTCCACTGTGGTGGTACAATGAAATAAGGAGAGGCCAATCAGGTTGCTCTAAAATTGTAACCTCCCACTTCATATGATTACATTAAGGCGAATCTACTCGAATACGATTTCATTTACCGGCAGCCACGAGTGGATTGACCAGAAAATGCTGATCATAGTGTATTTACTGCTGATGCTTGGAGTGGGGCGTAAGTATCTAGACTTGAGATATAGCATATTAATTGTCATGTTCTGATAATCATTCAGCTGGGTGCTAATTATTCTGAATGTATCACAAAGCAATCATCTGTGTGTTTATTATATTTTTCAGGATGCACACACGATCAGATCTTGGAGACAAAGACTGTTGGTGTTGGGGATGATGTGACTTTGACTTGTTCACGCCAGAAATCCTTGAATACACACAGGTTCTGGATCAGGCATGGTCCTGGAAACGTCCCTGAAGCCTTGGGAGGAACATATTCTTTTGATTATGATGGGTTATCCGATGGCGTGTTCGTTCGCTACGGGAGAGGGTCCGTTGGCTCCGGGCGGCGGGTGGGCCGGGATATGTGTGGTTCAGCTTTAGGGTGTCCTTATGTGGGGGGGTTTTTTGGCGTTTCGTTAAAAGGAGTTAGGGAGACAAAAAAACAAAGGGGTTAATTTGGAACCACAGGGGGGTTAAAAAAGGGGGGGGGCCAAAAACGAAATTTGTCATTTTGATTGCGGTTTTTTTACCCCCAATTTTTTCGTAAAAACAGCGTGCATTAGTGGTAAAGAGGGTAAAGCTTTCACTTCGTTGATAAATGTCGTTGTAGTTTCACACTTTGAGGACTTCGTTACCTGCTGCTTTGCGTCTCCCACTCGACCTTGAAACGCCGTTTTGTGACTACCAAATAAAAACCTCATTCTGGCGCCTCTTGCTGTTCTAGTACACGACGGGGCTGCTCCACTGTGTCACCAACGGTTGGTAGCCTCTAGAGATGGTGGTCTGGGTACCATAAATGATCGACCAAAGACTCTCTTTTAGTGTAACTGTTATTATCTATTGGTCCGTTTCGTGATTTGGGAGATAGTCGACTGGGGTTGTCCGTCCTTTCCCTCTGTTTTGTTGCCACTCTCGTGTCGTTCGAGTTCCAACGTCCGGACACGAGGTCACTATCCCGTCATGTTTGACTGATCCAGTTTCCATAGCCGATCTTGTATATAGGGGTTGTCATTCGAAATTAGTCTTTTCAGCGTCATATAACAAAATCAGGGTAGTGATTTCTGGACTGTAGCCACATCTAGTTCAGAGAGGGAGACGACAAAAAATAAGAAGGACATGACGAGACGGTCAAACGGAGAAGCCTTTCACACGTCTTTATTCAATAACTCAGGAGGAGAGAGACGTTTTTTCATAGACCCTTTTTACAAACTCTACCCTAATTTGTACATGCTTTATTTCACAGTTGTTGAAAAAAAGTCAGTTGTAGAAGAAGAAAACTGGCATTGACGACCGGAGACGACTAGTGGGCGACGACTATTGCCCTAAACAAGTCCTCTCTTTCTCTTCGACATAAACTTTATTTTATTTATACTACTGTATGACTACATCATTTCAATACGGAAACTTACAAATTTATATTACATTTCTTTTTCAAATCGAAACGCGTTTTATTGACAGATTTATCTAACTTGAATACCTTTTGAAAGATAATGGCACGTTTGTTAGTGTTCAAAAGTAGAACTATTATATTAGTCCTTCGCGCTTAATGTTAGTCTGAATATCGGTTTCGTCCGTCGATTCGTCTTCGTCTTTGATGCTACCGGAAGACTAGGGTGTTGATCCACGATTCAGTACCTCTTTTCCTCTTTTACACTTTTTTACAATTGCAAAAACTGTCATACATGTTACGTACTTGTAAACCTAACAACAAATATCTAAGTTTTACTTTACTAAGTTAAGTTTCTACACAGTTTGCGAGACGTCGGTGATTTTACGGCCCCGGGTGGTTCTCGTGTTTCCACCATATTCGAGGTGGTAGTCTGCCTCCGACCGTGCAGGAAATCTCTTTCAAACCCATTTTTCTATGTTTTAAAGGGACCTCCTCGATCGGAGTCCTGATAAGAGTTGTTAGTAGGGTAGGCGAGGGCGGACAAACAATACCGGACCGATTTACTTGGTGGACGCCCCTACTTCTTAAGGTTAGGACTTAGGCCGAGGGACCCTTGGGGTCATGTGAGGGACCAAAGGAGAGGACCCTGTTCAAGGACCGAGATCCCTAAGTCTCTTCTGACGTGGTGACGGTCCTCAGGTGACTCAGACAGGACGGCCCCTTTTTCCCCATGGTCTGACCTACCGGCGACGTATTCGCGGTCGCGCCTTATTAGTGACCAAGTTGCCGCGAGCGCTTTACTATTTTATTATGGGTAGTTGATATAATATATATATGGTATATATATAATCTAATTCTCGGGATTAGTTTTGTACGCAAGGAAAAATGTGTTGCTTGTGTGTGCACGCTTTAATAACAAAATCGACATAAAAGTAAAGGTCTTTAGTCTTTAGTAAGTACCGTTAAAGGAGGACTTCTCCAGTTATTAAAATTTTTACAATTGGGGGGGGGGGGGGGGGGGGGGGGGGGGGGAGGGGGGGGGGGGGCGGGGGTTTCCAGGGTATTTTCTATTTTACCTGTTTTTATCATTCGATGGCGGTATAATTTGTTTTCCCAAATCATTGTATTGGTGTTAATTTTCTTTCATCATATGTAATACATACATCGTCTGGGTTCCATTATTGTTTCTTATTTGTCAAAAAATTTACTAAAGTTGGAAATTGAGAGTTTTTACCAGGTAGGTTTTACAGGGGTTTACCAGTTCCGGGAACCAAATGAAAATTCCGTCATCATTTTTTGAGGTTCATAGCGAACCGAGACAAAATGAATAAACGGTTCCCTCTTTCCAAGGTCCCGGGAAACAAAACGGGGACATTACGGTCTCGTACGCCTTTGGAGGAANAATGTGTTCTGAGAAAAAAGTCAGAATTCTGATTTTAATCTCAGAATTCTGACTTTTTTCTCAGAATTCTGACTTTAATCTCAGAATTCTGACTTTTTCCTCAGAACAAAAAAACATAAAAAATGTTGGGAGAAAAAAGTCAGAATTCTGACTTTAATCACAGAATTCTGAGAAAAAAGTCAGAATTCTGAGAGAAAAGTCAGAATTCTGAGATTAAAGTCAGAATTCTGACTTTTTTCTCAAAACAAAAAAAACAAACATCAAATCCTCCCAAAAAAAATAATAATTTGGCCCTAATCCTCTTCCGTAATTTCTAAATGTTTCAACCAAAAACCTGCTTTATTAACTGGTGCATAGTGGTCACTGGGAATCACTAAAAGGCCTATGACAAAATATATAGCCATTATTTTTTTTACCTGTAGGCCAACCTATACTTTCACTAATAAATGGATCAAGATGTTTTTTTCGGGCGGCCAGGGTTCCGTTATTTGAAAATATATGTGTTTAAATCATGTCTAAGAATGAATGAGGGGCCGGACCGGATGTGAGGCATGCCACCTTCAGGATGGGCTTTGAGGAAATGTGGGGCTTTAACAGACAAACAATAGCGCTCCTGCAAATCGCATTACCTCAAGTCATATTTATTGCATTGAGGAAACGAACGAAATAAGAAGGGCTTCTTAACCGAGTTGTTTTACGCCCCTGACGGTGAGGAAGCAGCGAAAAAGTAAAACAAAATCTACCGACTCCCAAGTGAATAATTTCAGGTAAGCCCAGAGTAACGTTACCGTTACTGACACTGCTAACGTTAGCCGGCTAACTAGCATAGCGCAATGCAAACTACTCCGGTCAGTTAACTATTTACAGATAACACTAATTAATGTGAGTAATGTGTCTCTTATTGACAGAATATACTATTCAACTAGACGACTACATCCGCCTCATATAAACACTCCTCTAGGTGTAGTGGTGTGTTAACTTAGCATGCTAGCCGTGCTGTTAGCAGCCCACTGCCCTTGTGCCGCTCTGCTGAGTTGCACAATGCACACCAACGTCAGCTACACACTCTAGTCACCCAGCGATAACTGATTTATCGTGTCTGATTGAAGAAACTGGACGGACTGGTAGGTTTTATTTTCTCTTGTAAAGATGTGTACTATTTGGTGTTTTCAACACTCTTCGGCCGCAGTCATGACATGTGTCAGACGAGGAGCCAAGGCACTGGTGGACTGAGGGGCACGCTAGCTAGTACGTTATTTAGCTTTATTTTAGAGATGGACGCACGAGTGCGTAGAACTGTTACCCTAATAGTGCTTTATTTATCATGGGACTAATGAGCAACACTACTAAGCCGGGTACCGTTAGCTGAAGTAGTACAAAGTGCGCCACGAGTAGAGGCGAATATCATGGGGTTCATTTAAAAAGCCGCTATTGCACTGCAAGCAGTTTGTACGTCATGTCAGGCAGCTGGTCGACCTGCGTAAAGATGTCGTACCATACATCAGACGTAAGGTTACTGTAGTTCATTCAAATCTTCGGCTTTTTCAGCAAGTGACAACTTTACACTTATTTTCACCAACCAGGCGAGCAGTGCGCACGTGACAGGCAAGTCATTTTTTAAGTGATCGTTCCTGGCACTTCTTGCTAGCTATGATTGTGTTTACTACTGATCATGATAATGCTCTTCACTTGTGAATGTTCTCACAATACTGTCTGCGTAGTTTAGTCAAGCTACAACAATAATAATGGTTGTCACATTGATACAGAGTCTGCCTTGATGGACAGTGCACTAACACATATTTAATGGTAATACGTATTTTGCCTCATTGGTTCCAAAATGGTAATGTAGAGTTTGTTGTAAGGTGTGCCTGCAACGGACCTTGACAGGGAGACGTGCACACTGCTATTGTGATGGTCTATGCTAGTGATTGTCTAGTGTTATAAATGGTTTGGTAGTGTGTAGTAAGGTGTGTGTCATTTTGGTAATGTGATCAAATGTATATGCAATCTGTTCATTTTCAGTTACCCTTGACCGTCTCATTTTCTCAGTATTAGTGGTAATCAGGATTTCATACTGCTGACCACAGGAACTTCTAATAGCCATTTTGCAATCGAACAGAAATATTTTGTAAAAAACTCTTATGACTAATAGCAGGGGTGAAGAACCTTTTTCCACTCAAGGGCCNTCTTTTATGGACAAATACGACGGGGTCTTTTGGAGCAACCTGTAAATTAGAAAAGGTAACAAAGAAGAATATCACATCATTTCATGTCACTGCATAACCCATATCACTACATTACGAGGCGCTAACCCAGGTTTCCTGGTTACGCCTGAAGGACGTGAGTGTGTGTGTGGTGTGTTAGAAAAGAGTCGACGTCGAGCGCCTAAAGAGTCGGACTTGAGGTCGGTACTTCTGCCGCTCTTGCGCCACCCGAGCCCGAACAAAGACTCGTGTGTGCGTCTGAGTTTCGATCCGACGTCCACACACGCACACGAGCCCGACCCAAGTCCCGACCCAAGCGACACCATGGAGCGTCTAGGGGGCGTCGTTCGGTCGAGTGTGACAGGCGAGGTGCGTCGCCTCGGGGCGTTGCAGGGCGGTTGTTCCGTGGCGGGTCTGGGGTGCGTCGTAAGAGTACGACAAACAAATACCGACACAGTAAAACACCACGATTGCGGTAACATTGTATTAGTGACTGACAATAGGCAACATTGCCACCCTGAGTAGTCGTTGTTTTAACCCAGTCCTCGACTGGTAATCTCGTGTCACCCGAGTGTCCCTCCCCCCGCACCGACCTCGAGGTGTTCGGCAAATCCTGTCTATAACCTTATGTGTATTGATATGTCTTACGACATACTCTTTTGTTACACTCAAACCTTTTAACCGTGTTAATATGTATATCAAGGATCATCTTGGAGGTGTTACCTTAATACTGTCGGTCATCTGTACCGGGTACTGTACCCTCGGAGTTTAATTATGTTACGTGTTTGTACGTACCTGAATGCTGTGGGTCTAAATAAAATTTTTAATGTTGGCCCTCTTGATGGAGTATTGAGGTCTATCTTGTGACTCGTTCACGTAACTCGTGTAGTGACTGAACCTACTGAGTCTTTGGAAGAGGGTTAACTTGTTTGTTTTTTGACTCTAGTAGCAAACTCGTTTTCTTCCTGGCTAATTTTCATTAGTGTCTCGAAGTCAGCCGTCTCGGATGTTTCATTGCTGTTTCGTTCTTAGACCCACATCACTACCTGAGTCTGGACGTAAAATTGTCAGGTAATGTATGTCAATAATCCAGACGTATGATAGTGGACTTCTTAATAGTATAGTTCCTTAATTTTCTGATTACAGGCGTTGTCCTAAATCTTTTTGAACAGGTACGAAAATAGAAGTCATCTGAGGCTGATGACGTTATCACCACATAAGTGTCCCGACGTGATTTTTTTAGACTAAGTCTTTTGACGTCGACTAAGTCTTGCGACGACGGCTCAAGAGTGACTGTGATCTTCACCTAGTGTATTGAGGCCAAGACTTCTAGGTAATGTGACCGAAAGGGGTCAGACGGTTCTTACTAAAATTTTATGTTGACGATCAAAAATTTAGTGATTTCACCAAAATCCTGGCTCATATCATGCTTGCTGGATGAGGTAGTGATACTTCGTAGGTCCTCAGAGTCCAGAAGACCCAGCCCGACGAGAGACAAGCTCTTGTTGTGATTTGTACCTTTTCGTCGAAAATCAATAATACGGGGGTTGTGTAGACCTTGTGGTTGACGGGTTTAGCACGTGCGGGTGCCACTTTGTGAAGGATAAAAGTTTAGGTCTGATTTTTGCGTGGATTAAACGGCGACGAAATTTAACTGTCGGGTAGAGTGTGATTGTCATACGGAAAAATCAGTACATAAGACATGGCCGACACAAAATAAATAAATTAATTTAATAGAAAACGAAAAATACGGAACCAAAATTTTCGGTTAAATTAATACATAAATACGACATAAACAAGAATTTATAGAAAATAAAATAAAGACCATTTTCGTGAAACTTTAGCGGTGCACGACTTTTCACGATATATTTATTTTAACGGAAAAAAAAAAATTTGAAATATAATAACCCGTCATTGTACTATAGGTTTTCAATGTAATTATTATGTGTATTGTGTGTTAGTATTTATATTTTATTGTATTTCTCCCGTGCAAATATAAGGGTTACTCTTGAGGTCAAGCAGTGTCCGAGTTTGTTACGGGGGTACCGACTCAGGACCTAAACCTGTCCCAAAAAGAAGAGTTGAATCAAGCCATTATTGGACAAAGTGCTACCACGGTGACAAATAACTAGTAGACTAAAATCATAGTAGAACGTGGGAACAAAAGGTCTAAACTATGACAATATGTTTTAATGGTGGACTTTCCAATAGGACACAAATAACAGGTAGGGAGTAGGTCTTATGGTTATGTACTAACTCATAATAAAATTGGTAACTTGAGATTGGCTACGGGGGCATCCCTTCGCTGCGTGTGGAGGAGCGAGACATCGTCAGGTACTTTGCTCCACGACATTTCAAAGCGAGAAGGAGTGTCAATTAGCGCCCGTACAAGATCAAAAGTGTATCGTCGAGGTACTTGGGTGTCGAGACTGGCGTTCAGACAATTTGACTATAGTCGGTGTGAGTGCAGAGAGTACGAGAGGCTATGTGACAAATGGAACTTGATTAAAGGTTCTAAGCAATGGGAAGCAGTCCACATATTCCAAAAACATACAATATTGTATGAGGTATAAACTTTTAGCAAATAGTACAAATTTTTACTGAGATAAACCATCAGGCTAGGTTAGTTAGGGGAATTTACAACTTGAAGTCAACACTTCAGTGGTATGTTGATTAAACATTATACCAGGTAAAGATCGAGACGGAGAAGAAACATGTAGGGAAAAAGGTAGTGGAGTTGGTCCACGAAAGATAGAACTACTAACGTCGGCTCTACAAAAAATCGTTCCATTAAAAAACAAATTACGGTCCAGATACCGAGGGTCCGGAGGTATAGGGATGAAAAATTTATTGTATTTAATGTAATCATTGGAGGAACAACATGGGGTGTGGTTTAACTGTGTTGACAAAAAATTAACGTATTAATAATTAATAAATTATTAAATAAAAGGGTAACAAATTGAACCAAGAAACTGAAGTGAATCAAACAAGGAACGGAACGAATAACACGTCATCCTGGGTTAAAGTCAAACGTGAACCCAACATAATCCCAATTTTCACAACATTCTGTATTAATCAATCTTTTAATTCTTGTCAGAACAGGGGTATTTTGGACGGTGTGTTCATGACAAAATATTCGACTTTGGACGTTGTCCCAAAAACTTTTTCAATTAATGTTTTTTTCTTTTTATTGTATTAAAGAAGAATAAGAAGTTTCCCCTTTTTAATAGTTCGTTGTATATTAAGGGGGGAGTTCTACAGGTCTTTCCAAAGAGCGCCCAACCTTTCTACATGGAAAACCTAACGGTCAAAAGAATGAATGATATAGTCGTATCAGTAAAACCATTACACAATTTTTACATTATACGTTAGACAAGAAAGTCAATGGAACTGGGAGAGTAAAAGAGTCATAATACCATTAGTCCTAAAGTATGACGACTGGGTCTCTTGAAGATTATCGGGTAAAACGTTAGCTTGTCTATGTAAAACATTTTTTGAGATTAGTACTGATACGACATATCATTTCATTCTTTTGACGTTAGGTTTTCCATGTACGAAAGTTG